GCAGCAATCGTCGAGCTGCAAGTGCGCAGCAAACGACGTTAAGTCCGCAGCATCAATTGCATGCATGTACCCCTCAGCCTAGCAGCAGCAGCAGCAGCATGTGCTGCTGCTGCTGCTGCTGCTGCTGCTGCTGCTGCAGCTGCTGGTGCAGCAGCTGCTGCAGCTCATGATGAAGCTTGTTTAGTGTAGCGTCTTTGGCTTTTAACGCAAAACAAATATATGTTGCAGCAGCTGAGCTGCCTGTACACCCCAGTAAACCCTAAACCCTCAACTCAATACACCTCTCCCCCCTCTAAACCCTAAACCCTAAACCCTAAACCCTCGATATGCATGTAGAGAAGTATACTAGGCCCCAATATTTCAAACCGATTAAGAAAACAGCATGGCAATCAGTTGCTGCAGCAGCAGCAGCTGCTGCTGCTGCTGCTGCTTTCACAATACCCTCACTGCAGCAACAGCAGCAGCAGCAGAAACAGCAGCAGCAGCAGCAGCAGCAGCAGCAGCAGAAACAGCAGCAACGAAGGTAGAAAATACGGCTCTAGTTATGTTAACGCCGAAGGTCTGCTGCTGCTGCTGCTGCTGAAGTTGCTGCTGCTGCTGCTGCTGCTGCTGCATGCATTGCTGCTGTCTTTTGTGCTTCTGCTGCAACTGTATCTGCAGTAGCTGCTTGCTGCTGCTACCACTGGTGCTTCTGCTGCTGCCTCTGGTGTAGTTGCTGCTGCAGTTGCTGCTGCAGTTGTTGCTACAGTTGCTGCTGCAGTTGCTGCTGCAGTTGCTGCTGCAGTTGCTGCTGCAGTTGCTGCCGTTTCTGGTATAGATGTGGTGTAGATGCTACTGCAGCAGCTGCTGCTGCTGCTGCAGTTGCTGCTATAGCTGCTGCAGTTTCTGCTGCTGCAGTTGCTGCTGCAGTTGCTGCTGCAGTTGCTGCTGCAGTTGCTGCTGCAGTTGCTGCTGCCGCTGCTGTCTGCGCCCCAACCAAGCGCCAGCAAATGAGGATTTAGGGTTTAGGAAGGAGATTAGGGTTGCTGCTGGGGATGCAGCAGTGCTTGCTGCTGCTGCTGCTGCTGCTGTTGCTGCTGCTGCTGTTGCTTCTTGTGTTGCTGCTGCATGCGCTACAACTGCTGCGGTAGACCGCTGCTATCCCTGCAGGGAAAGTACAGGGTCTGCTGCTGCTGCTGCTGCTGCTGCTGCTTCTGCTGCTGTTGCTGGCGTTGCTGCTTCTTGAGGATTGCTTCTGCTGCAGCTGCCACAGCGGCATCATCATCACAACAGCAACAGCAGCAGCAGCAGCAGCAGCAGCAGCAGCAGCAG